CATAAAGCTGCTGTTAAATACCATTGACACCGGATATGCCAGGATGTCAGCGTACTCGCGCAGTAACCAATTTGGCAGCCCGTCTGGTCCTGGAGACTTGTTAGGGTTAAGTCCAAGCAACGCTTCCCTCACCTTGCCTTCAGACATRTGAAGGGTATCAGACCCAGACTCGGGAGGGGAACCTTCGAAGCACCGAAGTTCTTTCATGGGCTCAAGGAAAGCAGCATTGATCTYGTTAGCAAGCTCTTTTGGAGATACCACATCGCTGCGGAAGGATTCAAGCTTTGACAGAAGATCCTCAGAACCACACGCTGGAGACATTCCTGCGATCCTCTTCACCGAGTTCCACCATTGACTTGGTTTAGATTCTTTGAGATGTTTAACCTTGCACTCGAAGAACTTGTGACGAAGGGATTTACGTTCGCGGTTGACAATGTTCCGATAATGGTTATAGCTCTCTTGATTTCCCGACTTAAATGCTTGCTGTCGCTGTTTAATAAGATGTTTGAATTCGGGTGTGACCCAGGGCGGGTCATTTATATGAAGATTGGAACACTTGATGGGCATAATGTTATCGAGACCAATTTTCACTAAGTTCTCCAACAGGGTGGACATTTCATCACAACTAAGCGAATTAAAGATAGACCAGTCAATAGAGGCGAAGTATCTCCCAAGCTCAATCCTCCGAATCTCACGGGTGTCGCGTCTCATGATGACTTTCCTACTGCCCTTGACTTTCTTTACACGGGCTTTAGGACGCAGAACAACCACATTATGGTCTGATAGGCCAAACGGAGGTAGAATGGTAACCGCATTCTTGTCATAAAGATAAGCCAAGTTGGTAATAGCTAGATCCAGAATCCGTTTCCCGCGTGTCGCCTTATCAACTAGTTGTTTTAACTTGAACTGTGAAGTCAATCGAGAGATATCAAGCCGATTGAAATCGCCGCACAACAAAATTCCACATCCAGGGTAAATCCCTTCAATAGATGYAAGTGTAGCAGWCAAATAGTCTAACATAGCCCTGTCCTCGACGAATTGTGGATGATAGACGGATCCTGCTATTACACAGGGTACCCCTCGAGGTAGCCTTGATGGTCTAAGCCGTACCCAAAGAGAATCGAGATCATCTGTGAAAAAATCCTCCAAGACGTTGTACTGGATTCCTTGCCTTACATAAAGACCAACTCCSCCATGCAGCATTCCATTTTTCCTATTGCGAGAGAGGAAATGATAACCAGGGATCTGCAGGTTGTCAATACTCGAGAGATCTGTAAGCCATGTTTCAGTGAAAAAACCCAAGTCAGGGTTTACGTCCAGAATAACACTCCGTACTTCATCAATTTTTGGAGCCAGAGACATGGTGTTAGCCAGTAGCAGACTCAAACCGAATACACAATCCTTCCTTTTAGAAACTGATTTGATAACGGTAAGATTGGAGTTGTTGCGGCGTTTTTCTGGAGTTTGTTTAGATCGTTTCGAGCCGGTGATTCGGTAATTATGCGCAATCGTTGGAATGATACCAGATCTTGTGGTGTCAATGTGAATATTTAATGACTCTTGGCTGTCTGTATGCAAATTAACCCTACCAACTGAAGGTTGAGAGTTCGGAGAAATGGGCGACCCAGAAGTGATAGATATACTAGAAGACAACGAGATGGGTGATTCTGTAACAGTTGTAGCTGTCCTGGGTGGATTGCGGCGGCGTATACCAGCGCGACAGCCCCGACGAGTTGGTTTCCTCCGAGTAAGGCCCAAGCCAGTCAAGCGGCGCCAAAGGTCCAAACCAAGTTTCAAGCCTCTTCTAGGACGAATAGCTTTTAGAGAAGCACTTGAATAAAATCGAGTCATCCTTGGATATCGTCAGTTACTAGATAGAACCGCGGCAGATAACGAAACTCCAGAAAAATATAATTTATCTGGAGCTCGCTAAATTGACGTGTGCTGCCTTGGAGGCGCTCGACCGTATAGCCACAAGGATTCTGTTTTATGTAGTACATTCACAGTTTTGCTCACAGTTTTTTTATCATATTCCTTATTTNTGAAGGATTGAAGCAAAGTGCGCTAAAAAATCTCAGACCTCGTGAGTTACTTGTTCCATTACGTCATTTGATACTAAATACGTTAACCAATAGAAAAACGTCTGTCCCTATGCCCCTCCCATAATACTGTCATTTTCAAAACTTTCTTGAATAAAAACTACACCATTTGCTGACAAGAGGAAAGACAAAAATTCTTATCGAATAATTAGTGTCACAGACGTTCTCACAAAGCAGCCTACCAAAGTCCATCCCTACGTCCTCGTCGTGGTAGGTGGAAACGGCTAACACCGGCTAACAGGGCTCTGGCAGTGTGCTTGGGGCCAGCAACCCCATCACACTTACTTATTGCTACAGAAACCAAGAATAACCATATCAACCAAGACAACGGAGTTACCCCTCAACACCCCATTGGGAGAATGACTGCAAGAAGCAAATTCTTAGTAGCGGCCCTACATACCACCTAGGCGTAACAGGAATAATGATGACGTTCTCACAAAAGAAGATAAAATAACATAAGATWCTAACAGCATATCAAAAGAAGAAACAAAAGTGCAATTTTCCCACAAAGTTTAAAGAAATTTTCAGCTGAATGCCTTTGAACAAAAAAAAAAAATACTAACTCTCAAATATTTAATACAACACCTACACCTCTAAATCCTTTTGTTACTCATTTTGCTTTAAAATTCTCAATATTGAAACACTTTAAAAAAAAAAAAAAACTTCACAAAAGTGAAAGTCAGTGCACAGGCATATTCCCGACCATTCTCGCGAATTCAGTCCAATACTACTACCACGCCTTGGACATTCAGTAATGGAATTTCTGACGATAAGAAATAATAAACTGTCAATTATTTCCCTCAATTTGATAAAAACAACGAACAACACACTATTGCAATGAAACCAAAATATGTAAAACATTAATGAATGTTTTGCAATAAGTCTTAAGTTTCAAAAACGCCAAGTTCAAACAACGACATTTTAATTTTAGCCATCTATAAATCAAATTGCTTGATGTGAAATATTTTAAGACAGGAATTTGAAGATCAAATCAGTTAATCACTTCAATATAAAACCTGAGACCAAAAGAAACCCAAAGTTGTTTATAGAATTTGAAATGAAATCTAATTGATATTCTCCTTAGCTAAAATCAACGAGAGATTTCGTTACAGTATGTCTATCGAAAAAACGTTAGTACCCGACTCCTTTTCATGTAATAAGCTSTTCAAAACTTGTATTGTTATTTCAGGTGTTTTAACCTTGTTCGGTCAAGTTTATAGTACGCCTTTCTAATCTAATCTTGCACATTAGGAACTTTCTATTTTTGGACAATAAATTGGACATTTCAATAAATCTTTGACAGGATTATATTTTCATAAACAACACCGTTGCAATACAAATGTAGATATCGTCTATACCAGGACACCCAAATCGAAGTATCATATCTCTAATGGATGTCAGTGTCAACAGAAGTTTTCGGAATTTTTTTTTTTGAGCATAAACAATCTTTTTGCAACAAACATATCTTTATTTTCCTTCATCACACAAGAATAAAACAGGGAGATGCTTCCCCCAATCTTGGATGGCAGTCTTCCACTGGAACGTTGTAACTGACCCTGATGGCCACTGACGTACCYATTTCTAGACAACCTGGTTGCTATSCTAACCAATGCTAGTCAATCGGAGAAGCGGGCGCACGCGCGTTTTCATGGCGGGAAAATTTTTACTTCCAGTGGAAAGGTTTTTGTTTACATAAAATGTATGGTATCATTTAAAAAAWAWAATCTTCGGTGAGAAACATCAATTGGACGTGTCTTTTCATTAGTTATGTTCTTCGCAGCCTCCTTTTCACTGAGAACCAAGCATGGGTTTGGCTAAATATTAAAAAAWTAATGAYGTCATATGATGACGTCACAATGACCTCATAAAATGTGTAATTTTTGTTTGGGAAGCCCTCAATACGAAAGCGATTTTACTTTCGTTTGTTATTTTAGAGAAATACTAAATTCCCTACAAACGCATATTTTAGTACTGCCCTTAAAATTCAAACGCATGACAAACGAAAATCGCTGAAAAGGACACCCTGTTCGAAAATATCAAGCAACTGAATACCTAGTACATTTTTGCACAGCATCAACAATTACAAGATTAAACCCTCACCCTATTCCAGAGAACTGATTCCTTCACCTAATTTGCTTAAAAAGAGCAGTAACGCCAAAAACAAATCATTTTTTTTTTCAATATTGCTAAATATTACGTACATTTTCATAATTAAAGTCTTTGCAAAACTTTTCATAAATACTTGCTATTGTTCCGAAAAATAACATTTGATTCTCTTTTGTCTGTAAAGAGGCAAAATCCCGAAAATGCTTATAAGCCAACGACAATATTTTGAAAAAAACAGCACCCTAATTTGTTATTATCTTCACAATGCTCACTTTCGACACCGCGAGTTCATAATATACAATAATCGAGCTTGGATGGCCTGTGCAGAAATCATACTTGTTTTAAAGAACTTTCCCGGGTTTCAAGTGTACGCACAATTTATAGTTCCAGTCCAAGACGTTGTTTTTACATCA